GCTATCTAAGGTAATACAGAGACCTAATGAACCTTACGCTGACTTTGTAGATAGGCTTATTCAAACGGCCGCCAAAATTTTTGGTGACACAGAACAAGCAATGCCATTAATAAAACAACTGGCTTATGACCAAGCAAATCGTTGCTGCAGAGAGGTTATTAGACCATGGAGACATGAAGATTTAAACACATATATTAAATTATGTAGAGATGTTAATGAACAAAGGCAAGTCCATTTAACATGGGGTACACTGGCAAGGATTACGATGCGTCAATACCTACTTGGTAATGGCCCTCAGCACACTAGCATACTGTGCATCACATCTCAAAATTTCCTGGCTGATGATTGGGCATGCTTAAATTTGTTTTAAGCTTAGTCAGTACGTGTGCTTGGTTTAAACTTCTATCCAGTACTTGATAGCAAGTACTGGATAGAAGTTCTTTAAGGCAGTTTTTAGTAGTTAAATACAAGTGTAGATTTTGAACTAACATTTACACCCATTTGGTCTTGGAGTGAGATGGAATTTGAGATAATGTGTCCAATTGTTGTTTTCATAGCCATCATTTTATAGGAATTTTCCTATCTGCGTAAATTTTATTATGTAATTTTATTATAAGAGATGTTTGATAATACACACCTTAATATATGAAAACATGTCTAAACTCTTACCCAGTGGCTCACATTTTTTATTAAGAGATAAAATATTACCTTAAATAGTAAAAAATAATTTGTTGCTTCTACAAAAATTACTGTAAGAAAAATTGTTATGTACCTAGAATGAGTGAAATAGGAATGGGGGATTGCAATACACACTTACATTATTGTTTTCTCTAGGACACTGGTGGTACCCATTAACTTTTAGGTTCAGTAGATTTGGGAAATGGAAAGATTAGGAAAGTAGTTAGTGTCTTGCCTGTCTGTGTGATAAAAGCATACTTGTGAAAGTGGCTAAATATAAAGCTGAAGTTTTTGTAGTGGTCAGATGAGAGAAGTTATTTTATACAACATAAAGGCATTTTTATTTTTACCTGAGGATCATGGGATCCTCATCTATCTAAATAAAATAGTGGATATAATATTATGGTATTGTGACCACTTAATTCAGTCAGAATATATTATGGTAATTGAAGGAGACAGTGGTGAAGGCAGGGGAAAAGGCATTTGAGAAGAAGGACAGCTTTGGGAGAATTAAAATTAGAAGGACTTGATTGGTTAAGTCCTTGACTGCTGTTAATTAAGTAGGTGAGTAAGAAGGAAAGAGTCTAGGTTTTGGGTTTGGGTTTTGTGATCTGGCTTTTTTCAAGGAGATAGAGGAAAGGAAGTTGCAGGGAGAAAGACAGTAGCAGTTTTAGATGTACAATATTTAAGATGCCGGTGGGACATCCAAGATGTCCGTTCAATTGTCTGTATGATTGGATTCAGGAGAAAAATCTTGAGTTATGGCATGAAGGAAGAAAATGGATTACCAAACGAGGAGGGTTGAGATGGAGCTGTCAGATACAGGGCCATTAGGAAAGTGGTATTGATAGAAAGCAAGGGAAAAAAGCAGGTGTCAAGAAGAGTTAGTAAACAGGATCAATTTCTGCAGGCTTGAGGAATGGTAGTGAATAAAATGTGCTAATTGGATATAGGAATATTTAGAGAAGAAAATTTCAGCTGTTGAGTTTAGCAGTAGAACCTTCATTTCAGTGATTAGAGTACTGAATGTGGGAGGCAGGGAAATAAATACAGTGCATATGAACTTTATGTGGAGGTTTAGGGAAGACAAAGGTGCATGGTTGCTAAAGAAGATAGTGGAGGATCAAGAGATTGTTTTGCGTGTGTACATGGTCAGTATTTTAGCTGAAAGGTGCTTAGAATTTGTCTTCTGGGTAGGGAAGAAGTTTAGTAGAAAGTAGAAATGTACAAGAGAAAAAATTGTTAATGGAGCAAAGTCCTTTAAGAGGTAAACTGTAGAGCACCAGGGAATGAAAAAGAAAATGATCAAATTGGAAATTTATTTTTATTTTATAAATTTCAAGTTGAAATTAAGTAAGTTGAAATGTATTTGAAATCAATTGAAATCATCAAGATATTTTTCAGTGAAGAAAGATATAGTTATCCACTTGGATTTCTTGAAGATACTTAGACATTGATTAATTACTGACAGTAATTTCTTTTCTAATGTCCTACAGTTTTAAAAGAGATGTATCAGTATTTTAAAAAATTGACAAAAGGGTGAGAAAACCATCTATAAATTAATATAACATTTTTTTCTTTTACTTCTTAATTACTTTCTTTACACTACAGTGTGTGTCTTTACCAGAAAATCAATAAAGATTTCTAAAGGTGAGTTATGTAATGTGAATTTATCCTACTTAGAATATTATTTCAGTGATACTATTTTTTGTTTTCCTCCCGATAAGGATCAAGACTCCTTGAAGAAAAGCCAAGGAGTTGGTCCAATTAGGAAAGTTCTCCTCCTCAAGGAAGATCATGAAGGACTTGGCATTTCAATTACAGTAAGAAGTAGTGCTTCCAGTTTTCTTTTGTRCAATTATCTAGTATAATCATGCTCATTTGTTGGGCATTATTTGGAGAACAAAATATTCTGGATATATTTTTAAATAAATATATCTAACACTTGGGCACAGTAACTTTGGTGTTGATATTTTTTTCCAATATATATTTTTTTAGTTGTAGATGGACACAATATTTTTATTTTATTTGTTTTTGTACGGTGCTGAAAATCTAACCCAGTGCTTCACACGTGCTAGGCAAGTGCTCTATGTCTGAGCCACAACTCCGGCCCCTGGTGTTGATATTTTTTCTTGTATGTAAATCTTAACAACTGCTAAGTGTGCCTTTAGGAAGCATAGTGTAACATTTTTATTATGACTGAAGTTATAGATCTGTATCACGTACTGTGATGCCTGTAGGAGCCTTTGGAACTGTTTTCTTCTAATGGCTCCAGATTGTGTTGTTTTCTTTCCGGTATGTGTTCTCTTTTTCTTGTCTCATTCATTGCTGTCTGATTGCACTAGGTTTAGGGTCTAAATTATACATATTCTTTTGTTAATTTGATGCCTTCAGTTGTCTTGGACATCATTCCTGAGAAGAGTCTATTGGGAGTCCTTTTGTTTTAGTCTTGGTGCTTTACTGAATAGAGTAGTTTTTCATCTAATAATACTTAGGCACGTGTAAGTTCATTTTTTCCCCCTAGTGTTGCTTAATGTAGAAAACATTTCTTATAATAAAAAGTTCATCTCATCTGTTTATTAAGCATCTTCCTTTTAAACTACACTTCCCTCAAAGTTCATAAACTTTAGTAGGAGAGTAATATGTACACACTTTGGTATGAGCTAGAAAGTGAGAGATACTAATTATTGTATTTCAATTCTACATTGCATATTTTTCCACTTTTTTAAACATTTCTGAAATTGAGATGCAGCTTATGATCTTAGTTATTTTTGTGGTACATAAAATCAGTATCCTTTTCATACTTAGCAATTTAGATTTGATAAAATAAATGAAATACTAGTACATAAATATTTTAATTTATGTTTTAGAGTTTAGTCTATTGTGTTTTTGTGTTTTTTTTTTCATTTTGGTGTTTTGGCTCTGACACATGTTATTAATCATTTTACATGATACTTATAATAATTTATTTATCATTATCTAAGTAACAAATTTTCACCCATTGTTTACAGAGGTGGTAGAGATGCTTTATGAAAGGTATTTTTAAGAAAATATTTTATCTCTAGAATAGTCTGTTACTACAATTTACAAAGTGTAAACTAATTTACTGCCTTTTTGTTGTCAGGGTGGGAAAGAACATGGTGTTCCAATCCTTATCTCTGAGATCCATCCAGGGCAACCTGCTGATAGATGTGGAGGGCTACATGTTGGGGATGCTATTTTGGCTGTCAATGGAGTTAACCTAAGGGACACAAAACATAAAGAAGCTGTAACTATACTTTCCCAGCAGGTAAATTCCTTTTATGTAATTAAAATTGAATCTATCACTTGGTTCCTTTTGAATCTTTGAAGTGTTATGGGTACACATTTGTTTCTTTTGATTTGGGACTTTTACAAATGTCATTTGGTCCGGTTTACTTGCCTACACAATTTCCTTGCCTACACAATTTTGAACAAGTTATTTAAGTCCTTTGTGCTACAGTCTTCTTGTCTCTGTGTAGTAGGTTTTAAAATAGAGCTATAGGGAGTGTGTTAACACTCAGAATATGATATGGTAGTTAGAAAGCAGCATCCTTAATTACAGGATCATGATACAAATGTAAAGTGTTACAAAAAGACAATACTTGAAGTAGATTTGTTTTAGAATAGATTTTAAAATAGAATATTGAACTGAAAGAATCCTTAGAAAACATTTAGCCCAATTCTGTTATTTAAAAAGAGTAAACTTATCTTATTCAAGATTAAAAAAATTGCCTAAGGTTGCAGAACAAATACATTACAGAATTGGAATATGTATCCAAGAGTTGTATTGTTATCCGTTGTTATCTGGTGTATTTGAAAATCTTTTTTTTCCCCCCCAGGGGTGGTTGTCTTTTTTTTTTTTTTTTTCTTTTTGAGAATAGGATTGAGGGAATTACACAGATGTTGTTAGTATGTTTAGATGTTTCTGGGATCATCAGTATAGTATGCCTGTGTAAAATTGAATCTTAGTTAAATGTGAATTTATAGCTCATTGGTTCAGCTCCATATCATGTATAAATCGCCTCTGCAATATAACTACTTATATACTGCATTAAAGGGAAGACTCACAGTCCATTCCATTCCATAGTACTATATAGTAAATATGTATATTTTTTATTACAAATATATTAAATAAAATACAGTACTATATTTTATTTATTTATTTATTTGTAGTACTAGGGATTAAACCAGTAGTACTGTACGACTCAGCTATATCTGCAGCCCTCCTCCTCCTTTTTTTTTTTTTTTTTGGTTTGGTACCCAGCGGTGCTATATCTTGAGCCCTTTTTAATTTTTTATTTTGAGATAGTGTTTCACTAAGTTGCTTAGGGTCTTGCTAATTTGCTGAAGCTGGCTTTGAACTTGGAATCCTCCTGCCTCAGTCTCCCAAGTCCCTGGGATTACAGGCATGTGCTACCACACCCAGCTCCAGTTTACATTTTAATGTATCTGATAAGATAGATTTAAGAATGCTACTGTAGCCTCTTAAGTTAGTGATTCCTCAACCTAATTTGACTGTTAGACAGAAGCACAAAGAATGGGATGAATGGAAACTGGTAAAGGAGCTACAAATAGGCCATCATAATGTTTAACGAAATGCTAAGCACATATTAAAATTATCAGGTATAACTTTCCTAACAGTTTAGTCTGGGAAGAAAGAGCACCAGAGAAACTCACTTAGTGAGTAGCAGTTAAAAATGACATGCTTTCTCTTTTCAACAAAGGCAGACCATAATTTTCAGAGTTGCAAACACCAGACTTGTATGTAGCGATCATAATCTCTTATTAAATGACAACTCTAGCTTGGAATTTTTAAACCTTAAGTGATTTATAACTTTGTACTTTAATATGAGTTATTGACTAATAACAATACAAATAGTGTACATTTCATCTTGCATAATAAAAAGAGCAGGAACTTTGGAACTGTGTTTGTGTATGCTGTTTTTGTTCCTCTTATTGAGGACGTTATCTGCTCATTGCATGTGTACTTGGGTTTCTCATTCATGAAGAAAAAGAGACTACAATGGGGTTACAGTAGTCTGAGGATTGAAGACTATAATTTTGCATAATAAATATAGTAATTAATGTTATTACTAGACAGAATACCTTGATTGATACTATGTCTGGTACGCAGTGAAAGTTGAGAGAAGATTCAAGATTTATGCATTAAGAAACAACGAATCGTGTAAGGGTTTCTTGAACTAAAGGAAGTTTGTGTGATACCCTTACATGCAAGTTTGTTTAATATTTATGATGGATTTGTGGAATTGCTGTGTAAAATACAAACTGGCAAAATGCCTTTTTTAAAAAATATTTTTTTAGTTATAGATGGACGCAATATCTTTATTTTTTTTATATTTATTTTTATGTGGTGCTGAGGCTCGAACCCAGTAACTCACATGTGTGAGGTGGGCGCTCTGCCACTGAGCTACAGCCTCAGCCCTGCAAAATCACTTTTAAATCGAACATTTGTTCCAAAAATCTGAAAAATTTTTTTAGTTTTGATGGACACAGTACCTTTATTTTATTTATTTATTTTTAGCGTAGTGCTGAGGATGGAACCCTCATATATGTGAGGCAAGCAYGCTTCCACTGAGCCACAATCCCAGCCTAAAAGTCTGAAAATTTAATAGTTAAGTTTTWTCTTTTTTTAAAATCTGATATTAAAAATATTGTGATTAGTAGAAAGAGCTTCTATAATATTAAAAGGAAATTTCATGTAGAGAAGGATCATAGTGTTTCGACATCATGTTCTCTCAGACTCCTTTAACTTCTTGAAGTTCTAGAGTTTCTTTTTTGTTGTCTGGAAAGGAGCTGTATCTGAAGTGTCCTCACCCCAAAGATTTTGGAAATCCATTTTGAATTAAGTTGCAGTAATTTGGCTTTCTCATTTTCATCCTCTATTTTAGAGAGGAGAGATTGAGTTTGAAGTAGTTTATGTGGCTCCTGAAGTGGATTCTGATGATGAAAATGTAGAGTATGAAGACGAGAGTGGACATCGTTACCGTTTGTACCTTGATGAATTAGAGGGAAGTGGTAATCCTGGTGCTAGTTGCAAAGATGCAGGTGGGGAAATCAAAGTGTTACAAGGTAAAAATCACTCTAAAAATTATTATGCCTAAATTTATTATTAATACATTTTAAAAGTGTAAAACCCTCTGTTCTTTAGTAATATTTGTAATGATGAGGAAACCAAAGCAATAAATAGCTTTCCCTTGCTTGTACACCACTGACTATTCTTAAATTTTATTTACGTGTATGTTTCTTAGATTCATCATAAGACTTTTATCCTTGAATGGTGAAGAAAATTCAAGTTTTCTAGGCTCTGAAACAAAGTCAACATACCTTTTAGAGTAGATATATATTAATATATAGTCTCTCTTAATGCAAATTCTTCTCATAATACATGTAATGTACATAATATATATATATATAATTTATAATTTATATAATTATATATATATAATTTATATGATGAGTAAGCTTTTAGATTATTGTCTTATGAATCAGGACATGTGATCCTGAGGATCTTTGGTTTAGTTCCACCATTATCATTTATACTTTTTAAGGAAAAATTCCAGCTCTTTCTGGGTTCACTTCCATTGCTATCATTTACACATTTTAAGGAAAAATTCTAGCACTTTCTTATAGAGCAATGGTTCTGAAATTATGATCCATGGATCTCTGGAGCCTTAAGATCTTTCAGGAGTGAGGTGGGAGGTCCATGAGGTAGGTCAAAGCTTTTCATAATAATACCGAGATGTCATCTGTCTTTTGATATTTGTATTGATCATATAAAAGCAATTGAGGTAAAACTGCTGGTGACTGCTAGCATGAATCAAGGCAGTAGCATCCAGCGATACTAGAAATCATTGTTTTCTTCCTTGCCATTCACTCAGTTAAAGTGAAGAATGAAATGATGGTTTCATTTAAGCATTCTTGATGAAATAGTAAGAACCTTATTTGTAAGTGAAATTGATATTTTGTTTTTTTTTTTTTTTTGTTTTGTTTTTTTTTTTTAAAGGCAGATGATTTTTTTTTTTTTTAAAGAGAGAGTGAGAGAGGGGAGAGAGAGAGAGAGAGAATTTTTAATATTTATTTTTTAGTTCTCGGCGGACACAACATCTTTGTTGGTATGTGGTGCTGAGGATCGAACCCGGGCCGCACGCATGCCAGGCGAGCGCGCTACCGCTGAGCCACATCTCCAGCCCTGAAATTGATATTTTGAAATGAAACCATAAACTCTTCATTTTCTTAAATGTTGACCCTTGAATATGTTGCTTTGTAAAAATCTGTATGATGAGATGAAAGTACACATAAAGCACTTATCCTGCATAATGCACAAAGAACCTGGCCTCAAAGGAAAATACTAACCTGATCTACTATCTGAACTAGATATTTTTTTCATGGAAGATAATTTTTACTTGAAAGAATTACTGACAATGTATGGTTGTTAGACTGTTTGGCAGCCATTATTTTAAAAATGAACAAAATTGGTTCATAACTTCAAAGACAACTAGCAGTATTATAGAGTTTTATAAAAGATGCATCAGTCACCATGAGCTTGATAGCTTCCCAACACTTAGAACTTTCCCTTGCTTATACATCATTGACTATTCTTAAATTTTGATTGATTCTGATATTAATGAGTGTGAGGTTTTTTGTTTGTTTTGTTTTGTTTTTACAGTGCTGGGAGTTGAACCCAAGGCCTGTAGCCCACTAAGCAAGCACTCTAGTATGAGTTATGTCCCTAGTCCCTGAATGCAATTTTTTGTTGTAGTAAAATGAAATGTGTCAATTTTTGAAATTCCTGCATAACTCAGTGGTGCAGTACTTTTGAAATGACAGAATATAATATTGCCAAATTGTGTATGGGTTAAAATGCAAATAAGGCAAATGGATTTTAGTAGCAGATTCTTCATTGATAAATTTTCAGTTTTTACATTGTCAAGTTTTGGTATTATATCAAAGAATAATATTGACATTTATTTGAAAAGGCTATTAAAATACTCTTACTTTGCTGTTTATTCCTGAGGGACTGGATTTTCTTCATTGTAACAAATTGAGCAGAAGCAGAAATGAGAATCTACACAGCTACTTTCTATGCATATAAATGGCTTTCTGTAAAGTCATATACTAAGGAGAATGGCAAAATTGGAAAACTGTGCTGTTCTGACTAAAATTTTTTTTGTTTGGAATGTAGAGTTGTCATTAAACATGTTGTTTATGTTAACATATTGCATTTATTCTTGTCATTTTTAAAGAAGTAATGCAATTTTTTAGCTTTCTCAGTTTTAATTACTAATATGGTAAACATCAGTATCTGAAATTCATGTAAACAGAACAGAGTAAATTAATTCATATTCTACATTCCAGAATGTTAACTGTAGTGTTTCAAAGGAGAACTTTACTCAGTAAATTGAAGAAATGTAGCCTTGGCTTAAGTTTTTTTTAACCAAAAGAATGGTTTTAGGGTTTAATTTAGTGCTTATTAAATATATGAAAGCATTCTGAGACCAACAGGTAGAGAACTCAAGGCATAGAGTATTATGATAAACAGATGAACTCCGTTGCCTGTTTGGTAAACCTGTATGTTGTTGATGTGTACACAAAGGCATCAGTAGCAATTACTGTTCTCTGCGTGCCTCTTAAACAAAACTATTGTGGTAATATGTTCAAACTTTACACTGTTCACTGATTCCCCCATGGTCTCATCATCATTCATTCTTTTAGATTTATTCCTTTGTTAGCTGAGGCCACTTCTCTGACACCATGCAAATTGAAGACACTTACATTGTGTCTCAAATAATCAAAAATGTATACTTACAATTTATCATTGTAACTTACGCACATTTTTTTTGTACACACAAAAATGTATCTTTGCTTATTGTTTGGCACTTAGCTATACTTCATAGCTCACTAGGTGCTGTAGTTAACTCTTATTTGTTTACAAGTCTCTATTTTGTAGAGTAAACAAAATTAGTTTTAATGTTTAACTAGATATGATCTTGCCAACAAATGATTTTTAGCAAACAACTTGTATGTATTTCAATTAACTAAAGTTAATTTTAATAATATGAAAGCCAAAATGTAAAATAAAAATGTAATTCACAATTCTGTAGATATTTGTACTGATATCCAGTTGACTAAATTTTACAATTGTGTGTGTCAATTCTAAGTTTCATAGAACACTTAATAAGAAATTTTATATGATTTTTAGGTAGGGCCCAATAGGTAATACTTTAACATCTGCATAGTGTTTGCTATCCACCATAAGAAAGAAAAATTCTTTTGTTTAGGAATTGCTAACTTGATTACTCTGAGATCAGGTTATTATATTGGGAGTTCTTTTGTTTTTTTGTGCAATAAAATTAAAAAACTAAGTGTTTTTTTAGATCAGAAAGTATCTGCTTTTATTATTTTCTTTTCTTTTAGGATATAATAAGAAGGCAGTAAGTGATGCACATGAAAATGGAGACATGGGAACTTCAAATGAAACGCTGCAAGATGACAGTGCTTCAAAATTAGATGATCTGCACAGTCTGTATCATAAAAAATCTTATTAAATTGACTGTATCTCCAGACAAGATTGTTAATCAGACTATTTTGAATTTGGGGCACTAGGGAAGATGGTGACAAAGACTACACAAGATGAAGGGAGGCTGTTTGTTGCCTAAGGAAAGGCGGGTACCTCAGGGCTTCGTGTGAACAATTCTAAATGCATAAAACTCTGTTTTCTGTGTTATACCATAATTAGCTATTGCATGTAAAGCAATTTTGATTTTCTTGAAATTGTAAGCACCAAAGCATGTGTTTCCCAAAGGGATTTTACTAGGCTCATAAGTACCAAATGAAGTGCTACTATTTTATTTGGCTCTTTTCCTGTTTAGTAGAAGGACAATGTTAACTGGAATTTTATTATAAAAAAATAGCCTTTAAATACAAGAGAGTAAATTAATTCATATTGTACATTCCAGAATGTTAACTGTAGTGTTTCAAAGGAGAACTTCACTCAGTGAATTGAAGAAATGTAGCCTTGACTTAAGTTTTTTTTTAACCAAAAGAATGGTTTTAGGGTTTAAAAATATATATATTGTGCATCCTGACGTCTAAATTAGTTCTTCATGATCATTTATTATGAGTTTTCCTTCCAGCTTTTTCAATGCAGTACAAAGTAGTTTTCTTTAAGCAATCCTTTATCAATCAATGCTGCACTAGAAATAGTTTCTGAAAAGTTACTGTACATTTTACTTTTGGTTTTTAAAAGAAATGAAATGAGTGTAAAATACCTGTTCTCAATTATGTTGATCTGTGTGCATGGTATTGGAACATTACACTATTAATGTTTTGTCTTAAATGTTTATGGGATCCATGAAAGACAGTTTTATACATTTTGAGTTGTTCATAAAATTTGTCTTGTGATAGTTCTGGCACTTAAAGATAAATTTTTCTGGCAGGAAAGGCTCAAATTTATTACTGTGTCTTGAAATACATTGCATTCAAACAACGGTTTTATCTAAGTACCTGATTTGCCAATCATCCAAAAGTTGGGGGCTAAGGTAGGCAAGATGAGGTGAAGAGATTTTAATACATTAATTGATTTGATTTTCATACCAATATGTTTTACTAAAGCAATTTTCATATGCAAAATTGGGATTTGCTAGTTCTTTTGTCCTAGGATTAAGCATAGCTATGCCTCTTTTATTATTTACTATTCTGCAGGCCACTGTTACCTTCTGGGCAAAATTGTATTTAAAAAAGTGTTGGTTTTTGTGAATGTCATTGTTTTAAAGGATATACACTTAAGGGAATATTAAATGGAAGAAAGCTTACAACGCTTTTAAAATATTACCAGTATCTTTATTTCTAGTATTCAGATGTTGATAAAACTCATTTTCTTGTCTTTTCCAAATGTACTATATGTTTGTTGAAAGTTAAATCTATAAAATGTATATACTTTATTTTGTGATTTTACTATTTATAAATTTAATGTTGTAACTGTTGCTCGTTTATGGTTTGTTTGGGGTGGTTATGTTCATCTGTAAATCACCATGTTAATTTGTAACTAGAAGTGCACTTCATAGTGTATATTGTTACTGATATTAATATGCTTTGGTAGCATTAACATTGCTTCTGAGCAAAAGTTAGTATTTAAATGTACAAATGAATAAGCAAGTTACATATTATTGTTTGCTCCGGACAGGCTGGGCCTCTTAAAAGAAAAGGATTGATTTTTCTTCATGCATTCCCTCTATGCCAAACCCATACATCTATGCATGACATAAGATCTGCAAACTGGATTTTAGCCAGTTTATTCATTTAGTTAAAAAAAAAAAATTCTGTGTGGCAGATCTAAAAGTTTTGCTGTGAGATGAAACCATGTTATTATTATCTTCTTAAAACATGGCCTGGATGGAACGACCATGACATTTTTTCAGAGAATGTCCTTTTTTTTTTTACAATGACTGAATCCATAGGAAATGCAAGCTATAATCCTTCAATTTTTAAGAAATACATATCTAAAGAGYTTTTTTTAAAAAAAAAACTTTGGTAGTTTTGCATATAATTTGAAGGATTGTATGGCTATGATATAAATTCTTTTCAAGGGTTGATAAACAGAATAAAAAGTTTTCCAAGTAGCTTTAAGATTTCACAGGTCAGTTTCTTTTTCATCCTGCTTCATCATGGTTTGCAGGCATACATGAGGGTACAGCTGTTTAGATGCTTCTGTGAGCTTCCTCATAGTGGTCAGAAGGTACCTGGTTGAAAGTTCATTTTAGAATATATGGTCTTTGTGGGTGATCTGAGTTTCAGGCTTTCCCCCAAAGGACTGAGTGAGAACCAGTTTTTTGTGTTTACATTTATAAAAGGAAACCCATGCAATACTAAAGCTTCTGTGACAAAGCCAAATGGATAAGAAGGGATCTGCTACGAAGCCATCACAGCGGAAAAGTGAAAAGAGAAAACAAAATACATGCATACAAAAACAGTAATTGAAAAAAAAAATTGTTCAGTAGAATATGAGGGTTATATGTGTGTGTGTATTTAGACTTTTAACCTCTGAAATTCTCTTCTATAGTGTCTCTGTTATGAATATGACCAAAACAACATTTGGATTATAGGACTATTGTTTAGATTTAAGATGATGACAGTTTTGTGGGTCTTGATAATTATAACTAAACAGTTGCCAAAAGTTAATGCAATTTGTCCATGGTGCTGGTTTTTTCTTTACCACAGTAGACCTATTTTTGTTTCATATTTAAAAGCAAGAAATACATTGATTCACATGTAAGTTGTACATTATTTGACATCTTTATTATGGAGTCCAGTATTCTACCTATCTAGCCTTTCACTTAGGGTCAGCCTCAAATCTATAGGATTTATGACAAATGTGTTATATCTAGTTGAGTTAAATATTTTTATTAGCCTGTAAATAAAGATAGCATCTCCTACATTAAAATGCTATTGATCTCATTTTTATTTATTTATTTTTTGCAGTGCTGTTGGTCAAACCCAGGACCTTGAGCATGCTTGAGAAGTGCTTTTTCACTACACCACACCCCCGGCCCTTGACCTCATTAAAAGAAAATAAACACTATATGTTTCTTTCAAACAAATATTTTGGTTTATTATTTATTTTAAGTAGATTCTGTTATTTGTACTAGCATGTCAAAATCTACACAAAGGCTGAACCTAGTTGGGGTGGTAGAACAATATTAGTTTGGAATAGGAAGAAACTGTTTAATCTCAGTAGTCATTTAATCTGAATTAATTAAAAGCATTTTGGTTGGAAAGAACAATCTGAGCAACTGTGGGACCAGTTTTCTGCTGAAAGTTAGCAGACAACAAAAACCCTTGTCTTTGGTTTAGTTTTGTGGTATAAATATTGGCAGCTAATGTTATTTATGAGGATAACATTGATAAAAATTAGAGTAACTTAATTCTGTCAGTATTTAAGAGGATAGTCTTTCATTTTAGAATCTAAGTATACATAATTTAGAAGTATCCAAGTTATTTCCAAAATATTTTTTAGAAAACATTGATAATGGATATAAATCATATTTTAGAAAATGTGTTGAATTTATTATGTACATTTAGAAATATTTGCTCTTTTGTTATCAACAAATTTGATTTCATTCTAAAACTTATATGTTTTCTGTGTGTTGGCTTAAGCTTCCAATTCCTGTTGTTTGGAAAAGAAGTCTGTGTCCAGAACTCATTCTCATGGGATATTGTGCAGTTTATAAGATTTAAAAGATGATTTGCAGTTTCATTGTTAATCAGTGTTCTATATTAAGGGTTTATAACTAACTTTACAAAAAGAAAACTTAAGTACTGCAAATTACTATGTGCTACTGGTGCTAAATATTTTGTTTGATAATAAATCTTTTCCAGGTGTATTTTGAGAGCCATACCCACCATGGCGGCAGCCATGAGATTGCATCTGTCGTATCTCCAGCAGGAGAGAGCATAGCTGTCTACAGACTCAGCTTCCTTGCTCTGAAACTGTCCCTGTGTTCAGGCTGAGGCTATCATTCTTCATGCTGCTGCCAGCCAATGACTGATCATCACAGGGATACTATGTCTCCTGGATGTTCACTGGAGGACTCCCTGAAAGTCTGGCCAAACTCCCTTAAGTATTACATTGTAGTCTAAATTGCTTTCAAACAACCTTCCCTCTTTATTCACCTGCATTATGGTCTGGTTGTCTCCAAGCGCCCTACCTGTTTTTCCTCACCAGAATTRCCACTAATAAATCTATTGCACATCAGATCCCTTTCGGGTGTTGGTGTCTGCTTTTAGGGGAACTCTGATGAAAACAAGTTGTCCAAGAGTGAGATTTGAGGAAATAGGTAATAAACTGGGATTTAAGAGCTGGCTTATCCACCCTGCTCCAAAGAGTAAAGAGGATGACATTTTGGCAGGTAAGTGGAGTATATATAGTATGTGGCACAAGGTTATGGTGCTAAATATTTTTAGTTGTTTAGTATTTTGTAGAAGATTTACAGAAGAGTTAACAGCAGTCATGGATCTGTTGTCTTTCGAAAGGCCTGCTTATATTGGTCCTTGGCTAGTGTCTAGCAACTTGGATTTTCCATTTACTAACTTAACATAGGTGATTTACTGTGCCTGAAATGTTTGTAAAAACAGTAAGATTTGTGTTGAACACCTGTTTTCCCACTGGGGAATCTAGAATTTTGGTACATACTAGGCAGAGGGTGCCTATGTGACTGACCCTTACAAAATCTTGATGAGTGGGCTCAGTCAGGCCAGCTTCCCTGGTGAACACTTTATATGTATTGTTACCCATCATTGCTGGATGCATTAGGCAATCCTGTTTGCTCCACTGGGAGAAGACTTAATTAAGAGTTTGTACCTAATTAATTGTTAATTTTGCACATGTGCCTTTTCCCTTTACTGATTTTGGTTTGTGTTCTTCTCTATAATAACTCATAATTGTAAGTATGATCCTTTGCTTAGTCCTGTAGGCCCTTTTAGCAAATCATGCAATTTGAGGGTGGCCTTGGAGACCCCAGACACAGTCTGTAATTGGGGGAAAATGTCCCTAAAGAGAGGAATTTTCAAGGAGTTTCCATGATGCAGGTATTTGAATAATGTGGGAAGAACAATGTCTGGAAGAGAGCAGAGTTGACTGGTTACTACTAGGTTGTATTAGTGACCTACAGAAAGATAATGATACTGTGATCCAGCTGTTAATGCCTAAATGTGAGAGCCAGAGGTCCTTGTTGATGGAGAGCATTTCAAAGAGGCCTTCCTGCAATGAAAGGATGAAGACAGCTGAATTTCAGGCCAAACATCTTAACTGTTAAAATTGCAGAGTTTTGGAAGCTTGAATGCTTTGCCAAGACCTATTTTGTGAAAGTCAAAGCATCTGTATGGATGGATACCCCTGAGGATACTAACTCTGCTGTTCCTACCTGATCCCTTATCTTACAGAAGTTACCCACTCGCCTTAATAAGACCTAGCACCTCCTCTATGCTACAAGATGCTCATAGATCTTGCTGCTAATCCCTTCCCTCCAAGACTCTGGCACCCCCACATACTCTCTTCTACCTGACTTATAGTAGTAATAAAGTCTGGCAAAGCCTACCTGGATATGCTAAAGGAAAAAGATGTGCACTAAAAATTTAAGAATTAGCTAGCATATCCTGGCAAAGATTACTTAATTTACTATGAAGTCAAAATAGTTCTAATCTTGTACATGATATTTAAAATAAAATAGCTTCAAAATGCAGAAAGCAAAAATTGAACAAGAAAACTAAAAATCTCACAGTGGGAGATTATAGTATTTTGAAAACGATATGAAAAAGGAAAATTTGAACAGCAAAATCTTGTTTTATAGTTCAAGTTAAGAGTGTAATATTTGGTTGTAAAGGAAGGACCTCTGGCTTCTAAGTAGGAACAAACTATACCAAGGACAATTATACAAACAAATGTAAACCCCTGGAACTGGGATTCTTGCTTTGGAAAGGCAGAACTTGCAATTTGTTGAATTGCCAGCAGGGGGAAGCAGAATCAAAATGTGATGTTAATTTAGTCTGCTACAACTGAAAGGCTTTTTGAAAAGTATTAAAATATTGTTAGGATGAATAAGTTGAAGACTGAAGAAGTTATATTATTTATTTAGAGTTACACCACTAGTAAGCACTAGAATAAGGACTCAAATTCCTCYCAATTTTACCTTAATAGGCTATACAAAGGAAAAAGATACATGAAATTACAGGCTTTTCAGTCTTTCTCCCCAGCTGATTATTTTCATTTTTCTTAAATGGTACAAGGTTTGGTGGAGCCTAAGTTTTTAGTTTTTTWAAAATAATAAGTGAAATGGATTTAAATTTCATGAGAAATACCTTTGTTGCAGTTAGGTAAATATGGAATGCAAGAAAAGTTCTTAAACCTTCTAGATCCTTGTGATTAAAGCATTTCCCTCCTCCCCGCCAACAAATACTTAGGGAATGGAATTATCTCTTCCTGTGTGCCCACTGTCATATTTTTTAGAATATTAGTGATATTTTTGTTATCTTCACTAGATGCTCCCTACTGTCATTATGGTTGAGGGAATTTTTAGCTCTGTCTAATGTTATATTGAGTGGGCTGTTTGCTTCTGAAAGCACAAAAGTTGTAAAACTAATTTTAAAAATAAAATGATTTTTCAGAGGAAAAAGACAATAAAATTAACTGTTGACTGAATCATAAAAAAGAATAAATGCAAATATACAAAATAAAAATTAAGGGAGAAAGCAATAGCAACTAAGAGACAGTATTTTGTTCCATTATATAGGAATAAATGTGAAAACTTTTCTAGGAAGGTGTAATGTAACCAAATTGACTCCAGTGAAGTTTTAAAATTCAATGTTTTAGGGAAGGAAAATGGCAAAAAGCTGTCAAAGCACCTCTCCCACATATTACCAGAATATATGGTCTTAATGGCATCACCAGTGAAAGAGCAGGTAACTTCAACGCCTAGCAAAAGAAGAACTGACAGAAGAAATTTTCTAAATTTCTAAGTCTGATGATGTTTTCTTTTCAAAGAAAACAAAAGACCTAACTGGCAGAAGAATATTGTTGCAAAGATCAGTATGGATTTGGCAACATGTTAATAGATTCATCCATTGTAACCAAGTTTTTAAATATTAGGGCATCTAGTGATGTAATTAATCCTACAATGGGTCTCTGAGGGGTCCTTATGGGGGGAAATCATTTGCTTCTGATTCCAAATGCTGAAAAGGTACTGTTCGGTATTTAACATACATTCTTGGTGAATGGGGGGAAAAGATATAATGGATGGTTTCTTAACTTGGTAACATGCCTTAGAGTAATATGTGTGTGTCTGTTCCAAAACTAGCATCATGGTGAGTATGGAGCTACTTGAAGTATTTTATCTCAAATGTAACTGGCTGGGTTGATGGGGAACAAACAGTTGAGCCAGGTGAGGGGCTAGGTGGAGTGAAATGGGAAACAGGACTGCTAGGCATGGGGTGGGTCAGTGGCCTGATTGAGCTTCAGACTAGACTGTTCCCCTACATTGTCATTCCTCCTGCTGAACTGTCCTGGAGGTAGAACTAGGGATTGGAGTTTTACTTTGATTTTATGTTGCATTCCGATGAACAAAGACTTATCTGTCCGTATGCTGATGGACTTGAGTGAAAATGCTTTTTAATTGGCTTCAACTAAGGACTTGGTGGCTAAGAATACAGAATCTGAGTTCCGATTTTGCTCTGTCACTATTTTTTTGCTCAAAGGAAAGTCACTTCCCTTCCCTGTACCTCCTCTTCCCTCCCTCTACTAACATTAGCTATCTGGGATGGCTGTCTGAGGATTGGTTGAGGTGAAGTGTGGGAAACAGAAGGCCCTGCACGCGTCTTATAAGATGGGTCTAAGGATGTGGTGTTGCCCTTGTCTGAAGTACAGGCAGCAATTCTCCAGCCTCTAGGTAAGCCTCAGCACCAATATCATTTGCTTTTTTTTTTTTTTTAATATTTATTTTTTAGTTCTCGGCGGACACAACATCTTTGTTGGTATGTGGTGCTGAGGATCGAACCCGGGCCGCACGCATGCCAGGCGAGCGTGCTACCGCTTGAGCCACATCCCCAGCCCCCATCATTTGCTTTTGATCCCTGACCATTCTGAAGAGTGGAAGAGAAATTGTAAAATGATCTTCTTGTCAAATAACTTGAGTAGCCAAACATTTCTTAATACTATGTGTAAAAGAATTTTTTCTTCCATGTAGGAAGATGTCACCAGATACTTTGGTGAATTCTACAGTGCAGGGGAACAGAGTCTTGAATTCTAGGATGCAGCAAGACACGTGTCTAGAGCAAATGCTACAAATACCTCAGAAGGCTTTTTCAATTTCAACAGATAAACTTCGAGTTTGCTGCCTAGCAGGTGCTCTACCTGTTCACTTTTCTCCAAAGAATTTATAGAAACTTCCATTACTGGAAGCACATAAAGGACCAATGGGCCAGAGATGACACTGTTTTCTTGGTCCTATTAAGTATTTGACTCTATCTACTGAAATATTTGGTTTGGTGCTGGGCATTGGATTTTTTGAGACAATAAAGCTCCTATGGGTTGCATTCAAGGATCGTGTAGGTGTTGGTCTTCTGATATCAACTTTAATGTGTTATCTCTAATGAGTAGTGAAAGGACAGAGCAGAGACTATGATATGGAGTAGGACTATATCTTTGATGTACATCTGAATGTTTTTTATCCACTCCTAGTCATAGTACATTTTGTCCAGGTTTTTTCATCAGCCATGTTTTCCTAACATGAAGTTATTGAGTATTTAGTTGGAAATACCTGTGACTGATTGCATTTGGCTATTATATCTATATAAACTTCCTAGGTTATATGTATTGCCTTATTCGAAAAATATAGTAATTCTTGTTTATCCATTTGCATACCTCATTCTACTCTATGGGTGGTCACTAGTGCTAGGATGGAACTTTATGCCCATGTTCTGTTTTTTTTTTTTTTTTTTTTTTAATTGGGGGGAGTACTGTGGATTGAACTCAGAGGCACTCAACCCCTGAGACACATCCCCAGCCCTATTTTGTATTTTATTTAGAGACAGGATCACTGAGTTGCGCCTTGCTGATGCTGAGGCTGGTTTTGAACTTTCGGGCCTCCTGCCTCGGCTTCCCAGGCCACTGAGATTACAGGCCTGCGCCACTGCGCCCGGCTTCTGTGTTTTTACACAGTGAAATGAAAAGAAAAA